CAGGGCCGCGCTGGGCTCCAAGGAGGCTGGAGAGGAGGGAACAGCCAGGTCACCCCGTGATGATGGGGATCGGGGCCAGGAGATGGGAGATGGTGATGATGGTGGCACAGGTGAGCTCCTCCAGGTCACCTTTCTGCCCTCAGCTCCCCTTGATTGCCCCCACCTTCAGCCCCACACTCAGTTCTAGTTCCAGTTCCACCCTGGGTTCTCCCTAGGGTGGGGTTCCAGTTCCACCACCATCCCAGCAGGATCTGCTCCAACCCCAGGCCTCTCCAATACCCCCATCCTTCCCGACTCTCCACCTCTCCCAGCCCTTCCTCACCGCCCTCCTGTCCCCTTCCAGCCCCTCAGGTGTCACTGGAACCAGGGCCTGTGGCAGCAGCTGGCGAGAGGTGAGTGGTGGCACCCACTATCATCCATCCCCTGGTGATTTGTCCCTGTCTGACCCATCCCTGTGTCCCCAACCTTGGTCTGTGCTTGTCCAGGTTGTTGTCCAGCAGCTCCAACCAAGGGGACGATGCAGAGCCGGGAGCTGAGGCCCGAGAGGAAGAAGAGGAAGAGGAGGAGGATGAAGACTTTGCCAAGGGTGATGACCTGACCTACATGGATGACCTGCGTGATGAGAACTATCACCCATCCCTGGACAGGTGGGAGAAGCCAGGAGGAGCTGAGAATAGTGTCCGTGTGGGGTTAAAATCAGGGATTTCTGGGGTCAAAGGGCATGGAATTTTGGAGAGGCATTTTCATCACGTCTCACGTGGGGGAGGGTCTTTGCCATGTCCAGCTGTGTCCAACCATGTCCAGCTGTGTCCAACCCTTGTCCTGCCATGTCTAACCCATGTTCTGCTGTGTCTAACCAAGTCCAGTCCATGACCAACCCTTGTCTAACCGTGTCCAACCAACTCGTTCCCTACCACATCCAACCCATCTCTTGCCCCCTCAAGCCCCCAGACCCCCTCACCCACCCCTCTCTGTGCCCCTGACAGCGAGTCAGAGCCACAGCGACGCCAGGGCCAGCCCAGGGCTCGCAGGAAGCCCATCAAGGAGGAGCAGCCCCTGCCCAGACCTGGACCCTTGGAGGAGAAAAGTGGACGGGTCAGGTGAGTCACGGCAGCCACAGAGGTGAAGGGATGAGGGGAGGGGGTCAGAGGCATCATCTTGTGTGGTTGTTTTATTATTTTATGATATATATGATATTAAAAGAAAATTATATGTTAAAACTGCTAAAAGAATACAAACATGGAGAATCTTGGCTCCATGTTTCAGAAGGATGATTTTTTTATGAAACATATGATATTAAAAGAAAATTATATGTTAAAACTATACTAAAAGAATAGAAAGGAAGGATTTTATTAGGTTAGCAAGTAATAGAAAGGAGTGATAATAAAATCTTGTGGCTGACCAGAGAGTCTGAGACAGCTGGACTGTGATTGGCCATTAATTAAAAACAGCTACATGAAACTAATCAAAGATGCACTTGTTGCATTCCACAGCAGCAGATAATTATTGCTTACCTTTCCTTTCTGAGGCTTTTCTGCTTCTCAGGAGAGAAGTTCTTAGCAAAAAGATTTTTCATAAAATATTTCCATGACAATCTTGGGAGTGTCCAGTGCTGCTGGCCACAGGACAAGAGCTCTGTGTCCCCAAGGGGGGGTTCCAACCCTCCCCCATGACTCTACTGACTGCAGGGCGGAGATGTTTGTTGGTTTTTTTGGGTGCAAAAGGGGTTTTGGCTCACAAACATCACTGTAGGGGCTTCGTGAGCCTGGTGTCACCCGCCCTGTCCCTTGTGGGTGCTCAGGGAACAAGGAGAGGCAGTCAAAGCTGCCATGGAGGGGGATGTGAAGACCCCCTGAACCAGACCCGTGGTGGGCACTGAGGCCTCCAAAACACTGGAGATTTTTTGGAACAACCCAAAATCCATCAATCCCACCACAACCTCCTCCACTGACGGATCCAAGGTTTCTCCAGCAGCTCCGTGCCCAGTGTTGCCAGCTCTCCTTTCCAGGCACACAAAATTCAATGTTTTGTGCTAAAAAAAGCTTAAAGCAGCCCTCAGGGCTTCACTGGGGCTTTGCACAAGGGAAGCTTGGTTGGGGCTTGGTCTGTGCACAGCCTCGGATCCAACACACCTCAGCTGGATGGATTTTGACACAAAAAGGGGTAAAATTCCCCCTTTTTTTCCTGGAATCAGCCACAACTCTTCCTTCTGCCCCATCCCAAGTGTTTCCCCAGGTGAGTGTTGTCCCTCACAGCTTTGATTGACCCCTTTGGATCTTGCTTTTTGAGACGCTGAATGCCCTCCCCTCTCCTAGCAGCTCCAGAACCACCCCAGATGTGGCTGGAAGAGGGACCACTCTTCCTGGAGACCCAATCCCAGTGAAGGTAACACTGGAATTTGCTCTCCCCCTCTCCCTGGCATTGCAGATCCCAGGCTCCCAAATCCCGTGTGAGGGTAGAAAAGTCTGTGTTCTATCTGGGCCATTCTTTTTGGGGTCAAAAGTGAATTAAATGTGATATTTTTCCTGGTGTTCTTTGGGTTCTGCCTGATTTCCATCCCAAATCCCATGGTCTCCAAATGTGTCTGAAGTTTTATCTTCAGGCTGGTGGCTTTTCTGAGGGGCTTGCAGCTCTCTGCCCTCTCCCAAAGCCAAGCCTAAGCTTCAAGTCAAGCCTTTTTTGGGTTGAGCTTGGTGACACAGATGATATTTTTAATATTTTGGTTCATTTTCCCCCCCATCTTTTGTCACAGCAAGTTGAAAATGGGAGATAAAATCCTGGTGTATGAGCAAAGCTGGACCTCACAGACGTCAAGGGGGTTCTCCTCTTCTCCCTTCCCCAGGTACAGTCACCCTGCGCTGATAAAAAAACCTGTTTTCAAGAGATTTGGGACAAATACCCATGCTTGAGCATGGGCATCTCTCACCATCCCATTATTTCCTCTCCCCAAACCCCACTTTAATCCACTTTTTAATGGATCTTTCCTTAATTCCAGGGTGACAGCCAGGAATAGCTGCTATTTCCAGGGATCTATGGATGAATTATAGATCCAGCCAGGCTGGGAGCCAATTTCAGTGTCCTGGGACGCGTCCAAACCATGTGAAAAGGGTTTTGTAACAAGGAATAAAGAATTTTTTCTTATTTTAAACGCCTGAAATGTGTTTGTTCCAGCGTGTCCTGCTGGTCTACGGGGTGGAAATGGGAGAAATGCAGGTCCTGAGGGTGATTTAATGTGGGATTTCCTGGAGAATCTTGGCTCTGGGTACAGTGAAGGGACACCAGGGCCTGGCTGAAAATGGCTTTTTCCTCTTGCAGGCAGCCACGGGCGAGTGACAAGGACGTGGCTCAGATCGGCCCCAAGAGGATCAGGTACCTGAGGAAGAGGAGGGAAGGGGCCAGGGAAGCTCCCAGGAAGAGCAGGATGGGCAGGAGACACCTCTGAAAGGGTTTTTTTTTTTGCTTCATTTTAAATGATTTCACGGGTGGGGAAAAGGGAAGGTGGGTGAGGAGGAGGAGGGAGCTGGGGACAGATCCACATTCCAAAGCTTTTCCAACCCTCCTCCTCCTTCCTGATAAGGATTTTTTCCTGTGTTTTCCCTGTCAGGAAGGCAGCAAAGCGCGAGATCCTCCTGTGTGACTTTGAAGGCTGTGGAAAAATCTTCTCCAACCGCCAGTACCTGAATGTGAGCAGCACCTGGGAATCCTGGGGAGCCTGGGTGGGGTCTTCTGGAGCTGGAATTGGTTTTTTCCCCCTGGCAGCATCACCAGAAGTACCAGCACGTGCACCAGAAAACCTTCACCTGCTCTGAGCCCACCTGTGGGAAATCCTTCAACTTCAAGAAACACCTGAAGGAACACGAGAAGCTGCACAGTGGTGAGAGGGGCATTTCCAGGGGGAAATTGCACCTCCCTGGTGAAATCCAGGATTACACATCCTCCTCTAGGAGATACAACTCCCCCCTATGGATGGTGGCTCCTCTCAGGAATCACACCTGCCTTATAGGTCACATTTCCACACTTTGTGTGGATTTCACTTGCTCCCATCAGATTCCCACCTTCCCCACCCATTCCCAAACTCCCACCCCTGGGAGCTTTCACTGCTGCCCTTTGCTCCCAGAATCTCTCCCTTATCCTCTCCATTCCCACGACGGGAATCCTCCCAGCTCCCAGAGCACATCCTGATGGTTTTTCCAGGCCGGATCAGCCCCCAATCCCTTTTCTTTTCCTCCCAGACAAGCGGGATTACATCTGTGAGTTCTGCGCACGTTCCTTCCGCACCAGCAGCAATTTGATCATCCACCGACGGATCCACACCGGGGAGAAGCCCCTCCAGTAAGTCCCAGTACCATTCCTGCCCCCCCCAGTAAATCCCAGTCCCATTTCCAACTTGCCAGTAAGTCCCAGTCCCATTCCTGCCCCTCCAGTAAATCCCAGTAAGTGCCACTCCCCAGTAAATCCCAGTCCAACCCCCCCCCCAGTAAGTCCCAGTCCCATTCCTGCAGCTCTGCTCAGCCTCAGAGTCTCTTGCCACCATTTTCAACCCAAAATCAGCTCCTCCAGCCAAAAGCTAGGCTGAGATTCCCCCTGAGCTTTCTGCCCTTGGAGCTGACTGTGTCCAGACCCAGCAGCTGCAGGGTAGTGTTTAATTAGGCTCAGCTTAATGAGCTGAAACAGGACCCATGTCCAAGCCATTCATGCCAGGAGGGCACTGGAGCTTCAACCCTGGCACATTCCAGCCCTGAGGATGGCAGGGCCGCTTCTCCCTGGGGTTTTCAATTCCTTCCAAAATGTACAATCTCCCCCAGGTGCGAGATCTGCGGCTTCACCTGCCGCCAGAAAGCCTCCCTGAACTGGCACATGAAGAAACATGACGCCGACTCCTTCTACCAATTCCCCTGCGACGTTTGTGGCAAGAGGTTTGAGAAACGGGACAACGTCACCGCCCACAAGAGCAAGAGCCACCCCGGGGGGCTCCCCCAGCCCGAGGGGACCCAGCAGCAGCCCCCGGAGCCCCCCGGGCCCGTGGAGGCCCTGGAGCTGCTGGGGGCTGTGCTGGGGACTGGGGGGGACACAGGGAGGGCCCCACTGGAGTTTGGGGTGGGGGGTGTTGGGGGGGGATCCACCCCAAGGGCAGGGGAGGGGTGAGGGGGAGTCCTAGAGGGCTCATCCCCCCCCCCCCAGTTTGGGGGCTGGAGCAAAATCTGGGATGATGCTGGACCCTCCAGGTGCCAAAAATACATGGGACAGGCAAAATCCCAGTTTTTCAGCCAAATCCTAGATGAAATCCCAGTTTTCCAGCCAAATCCTAGACGAAATCCCAAGTTTTCAGCCAAATCCCTTTTTTTTTGCCAAATCCCAGTTTCCCTCGAGCCCAGCATTATTGCCAAAAGTGGATCCTCAATAAAGACTTATTTTGGGTAAAAGTGGGATTTGGTGCCATATTTTTATGGAAAAAAAAGATAGAAAAATTTGGGCGATTTGGACACAGGCAAATGGGTTGGAGAGAGGGTGGAGACACCAAAAACCCAGGAACTGGGGACCCAAACTGGGATGAGAGGGAGATCCCAGTGAGTCTGTGCCCCCAAACTGGGATGGGTGGGAGCAGACATTTGAGCTGTGCCCCCAAACTGGGATGAGAGGTAAGGCCCAGTGGGGTGTGCCCCAAAACTGGGAGCTCCCAGTGCTTCAAACTTCTCCTTTAAACTTTTATTTAAAAACTCTGATTTAAACCAGAATTTGGACTTACAGATACTTGGAAGCTCCAAGTTGGGACCATTTAGTGAATTGCAAGTGCCCCCAAAACCCGTCAGTACTCCACCCCAGCAGGCTGGGGACAAGGACATCTCTATGTCTCCATCCCCTCCCAAGCAGGAGCAGCTTCTCCTCCTCTCTCCCAGCACCAAAAACCCCCAAGTTATCATGTTTTAGGGTTGTTTTTTTGTTTTGCACAGCAACTTTTATTTCCCCACTAACAGTGACAGGGCAAAGGACACGAACAGCAGCACTGGGAAGGGCACGAGGGGAGCGGGTAAGATCACACCTGGAACACAGAACCCCCTCCCCAAGCCCCCCCCAGCCCAGCTTTGGGGTGACCTTAAACATCCCAATCCCATTGCTGGGATCCTGGCACTCCAGGGGCTCAGAATTTAGGGGGAGAGAAAGGGAGATGGAATGAGGGGGTACAGTGGCAGAGATGAGGAGGCAAAAAGGGACATGGGGGGAAATGGGGGGCAATGGGGAGATGGGGACACGAGAAGGGGGGGACAGTAGAGGAGAGAGGGAGTCACTCAGCGACAGCAGGCCAGGCTTGGCCCTTTCCCCAGGGAGGATGGGATGAGTCAGGATGGGATGGGTGAAAATGACCTGCAAAGCAACGGTGCCCAAACTGGGGAAGGGGGGGTGGATACGAGACCCCTCCTCTCACACGGCATTTTAGGGGTGAGGGGGGGACACAAAGCTTTGGCTACTATTCGAAGTAAGATGGGATCAGCCTCTCCCTGTTCCACGGGGCTCCAACTCCAAAGGAAAAAAAACACAAAATGAACTCTACAGGGGTGTTTAACCAGCAACAAAACACAAAATGAACTCTACAGGGGGTGCTTAACCAGCAACGGGGACGGGGTGCTCAAGTAGCCCACCCCCTTACCAACCAACACCCCTGAGGAAGATTTTTGAGGGTAAAAAGTCTCAAAAACTTTGAACTGCAACAGGAAAAACAAAAAATCCCCCCTGAACAGCCAAGGGTGAGATTTGGGAAGCAAAGGAAAACCTAAGGATGGCAAGGGGGAGAGAGAGGGACGGACACCACCAGCGAGTGGGGCGGGGGCTCAGTTGCAGAGGGACAGCAAGGAGCCCACGTAGAAGAGCCAGAAGAACCTGAAGATCCTCTCAGAGAAGGCTCCAACTCCAAAGAAAGAACACAAAATGAACTCTGCAGGGGGTGTTTAACCAGCAATGGGGAGGGGGTGCTGAAGTAGCCCCCTCACCAACCAACGCCCCTGAGGAAGATTTCTGAGGGTAAAAAGACTCAAAAACTTTGAACTGCAACAGGAAAAAAAAAAATCCAAGGGTGGGATTTGGGGTGTTTTGCTCAGAAGCAAAGGAAAACCTAAGGATGGCAAGGGGAAGAGAGAGGAGGGGAACACCACCAGCGAGCGGGGCGGGGGCTCAGTTGCAGAGGGACAGCGAGGAGCCCACATAGAAGAGCCAGAAGAATGGGAAGATCCTCTCGGAGAAGGCGGCGGTGAAGGTGAAGATGGGAGCCATGTTGTCGGCGTTGTAGAACGCCACCCACCCTCCCTCGTAGTCCAGGTACACCCCGATCTTGCGCGGCCGCTCGCACAGCGACAGCGGCGTCTCGGGAGAGGTGAACGCCTGGTACTGATCCCAATTCTTGCCCTTCCAATTGAGCCCCACCGCCCAGATGCCCTCCTCGGGGGCGAAGTCGACCTTCTCCTTGCGGCGCACGGACTCGCGGGCGGCGCCCAGCACCCAGCTCTCCCCGTCGCCCACCTCCACCTCCCAGTAGTGGCGGCCGGCGGAGAAGCCCTCGGAGGCCAGGACGCAGAAGGCGTAGTCGAAGCGCTTGGGGTGCGCCGGCAGCTCCTGGGGGGCCCCGCGCAGGCGCACACTGCGCTTGTCCTCCGACAGCACCAGGTAGGGGTTGGCCGTGTCGGGGTCTAGGGAGAGCTCACCTGCGGGGGGACGGGAGGGGGGTGGTGATGTGAATAGTGCAATATCATTAATTGTATTAATGCTATTAATAGCTGTGGTAGTGTTGGCAGGGGGCCGAGGGTTAGGAGGGAAGGGACAAGAGTGTTGGCTCCGTGTTTGAGGGGCATTGATTTATTGTTTTCACATACTATTGTATTAAATAATACTATTGTAAAAAATAATGATTTACTCTTTTATGATACTATTGTGTTAAATAATAATTAAATTATAAATAGATTATAATTAAGTTAACAAATTATTATTTAATTATTAATAAATTATAAATAAATTACAATTAAATTATTAATTCTAATTAAACTCTAAATAAGTTATATCCTAATTATATAGTTGAATTATATAAATGTAAATTAATTATACATTAGTTACTTAAATATTAATTATTATATAATTAAATATATAGTGATTTATATAATTTAATTATATATTTAAATTATAATATATTGTATTAAAACTATAGTAAAAGAATAGAAGAAATTATTTTGTCAGAAGGCTAGCTAAGAATAGAATTTTCTGTGCCCCAAACCAGAGGGGAAGGACCCAGATGAAGCCACCTGAAGAGCCTACACAGAAGCCAAGCCCAGCAATTCCAAGCTCAACCCTTGGAAAAGGCAGGTTAGACTCCCCCAAAAGCCCCAATCCCAGCAAATTCCCACATTATCTCTTGGAAAAGGGAAGTCACAGCCCCAGATCCCAGCCAATTCCATGCAAACCCCTGGAAAAGAGAGCTGTTATGTCAGTCCCCATGGACTCACCTGTGTCGTTCTCCAGCTCAAAGCGCAGATTTTCTGTGGGAAAAGAAGGAAGGAGCTGAATCCCCAGAACTGCCCAAGCCATGGGAATGATCCCAACTCCACACTCCCACACTCAAATCCCAGGGAAATCCCTTTTCCACCTCTTCCCTGCGATAAGGGAACAACCCGGAGCTCTCCCAGCCAGCCCAGGGGGGGAATTAGAGCCCAGCTCCATCCCAGCCCCGATTTTGGTGGATTTCCACGTGGGATCCTGGCTGGGAAAGCACTTTTTTTTCCAGGAAGGATCTCATCAGGCTCACCCTTAAATTCCAGCAGCACTTCCTTGAGCACCGCGCTCTTCTGGGAAAAACTCTTCAGCTTCTTCTCCAGCTCGGAAAAGCCGGGTTCAGGCTTGAGGAACATCCAGCTCTCCAGGCTGAGGAGACACAGGAGTCAGGGACCCAAAAAATCAAGGAATTCCCCTTGGGAATTCCTGGAGCCAGCTCCAGCTCCAGCTCAGAGCCTCCAGGTTCACCCAGCTCACTCACCTGCTGCCAGCCGGGACAACGCCCTGGAAGGGGAAGAAAACCCAAGGAATTTGTTAGGATCAGCATCTCTCCTATCTCAAGATATCTCAGAATCCTCCCCAGAAAATGGGAGGATCCCATGAAGGGACTTTTGTCCCCATAAAGGTATTTTTGTATCTACAAGGGGAATTTCTCACCCCATTAATAGCATTTTTTACCCAATAAATTTATTTCCCAATAAATAAAAATTCTGACCCATAAATGGAAATTCTTGCCTACGTAAATGGAACCTTTTTCCACCCCATAAACAGAACTTTTTTGCCCCCATAAATGGAATTGTTACCCCCACAAACAGGTTTTGTCCCTCTAATTAGGATATTCCCCCGATAAATAAATAAACAAATAAATAAATAAATAAATATTTTGACCCATAAATGTAAATTCTTGCCTGCATAAATGGAACCTTTTTCCTCTTTTTTGCACCCCTTTTTTGTCCCCTTAAACAGAATTTTCATCCCCATAAATAGGTATTTTTGCCCAGTACATGGGATTTCTGTCCGTGAGCAGGAATTTTTGGAGACACACAACAGAGTCCCACCTCGCCAGGTGTGCTCCCCGTGCCACTGTCCCCGCCCTGCTCTGCCAGGAGCTTGTCCAGCTGTGCAATATCCTCGGCCAGCCGGGCCACACTCTCATCCCTGCGGCGCCCGATGTCCCTCTCCAGCTCCTCCAGCCTGGAGAGCAGCAGCTGCTCCTTCTCCTCCAGGAACGCCCGCAGCTCCTTGCACTCAGCCACGATCTTCTGCCTCTCCACCTCCGTCTGCTTCTGCAATTCCAGGGGGAACATCCCTGTGAGGGCAGATCCCCACAGGGATCTGCCACGGAACTCGGGGAGAGAATCTCTGGGGGCAAGGGGAACCCAAATTTCCACAGGCAGGAAATCCCCAGTGAGACTGAACCCACCTGGATGGGGCTCCCAGCAGCTCCTTATTGGGATTCCCATGGGGAAGGGGAAACCAAATTTTCAGAGCCAGGAAATCCCCAGTGAAACTGAACCCTCATTCCCATGGGGAAGAGGAACCCTCCAGGTGGGAACAAACTTATTTCCAGAGCCAGGAAATTCCCTGAACCCTCCTGGATGGGGGTCCCAGCAGCTCCTCACTGGGATTCCCATGGGGACCGGGAACCCAAATTTATTTTCCCAGCCAGGAAATGCCCAGGTGAGACTGAACCCTCCTGGCAGGGGGCTCTGGAACTCGCAGCACTCACCAGCAGCTCCTCGCTCTGCCTCTCCCGCTCAGCCTTGGCCTCCTCACGCCCTTTCCTCAGGGAGCTCAGGTGCTCCTGGGGCACCTCCTGAAAGCACAACAACAGATCCCTTGGGAATTCTTCCCCTGTGGGCCATCAGGAGGGAAAGACTGCTGCTGTTAACATGGTCAAATTCACCTAATCTGGGTTTTTTTTTGGAGATGGAACCAGCAGCTGCCCTGACCTAACAAAACCACCAAACTTCACCCCAACCACCCCAAGAACTGAAAAAAAAAAAGTCAATTAATTTTATCAGTCTGTGAGGAAACAAATGCCCTGGTCCCACCCCCACCCTCCTCCCAGGATCACCGCCCACATTCTCCCTCCTAAAGGTGCCCCAAAATTGGGTTGGACTCCCCCTCAAGAGGAAGAACAGCTACCTCTGAACTGCTCATTAAATTATTAATTAATTAAGCTCATCCTTATTTAAGAAGTTTGACCTCCACGGAGGGCAGAGAAGCCCCTGCAAACAGCAGCTGACCCTGGGGGCAAATTAATCTACTTATTTTATAACTAAAACCCTAAATACAAGGATTTTGACTGTTAAGAGCCAGAAGTTGCTGGGTTTGGAATTTATCTGTGAGATTAAAGCAAGTATCAGGGCAAAAAAAGAAGGGAGGATCTCAGCAACAACCAATTATCAAACACTCATAAAAGTAGGGTAACGAGGGGGAAAAAAAACCCAAGGGAGCAACAACCTGGATCTACACAAGGACGTTTGTGTCCTGAAAAAAAAAAAAGGACAAAATCCCAGATTTAGGGCGGGGGGGGGACGGGGCACAGCCCCAGCGTCCCCGGAAGAGGAATCACGGCAGTTCCGGGACAAAACCCCCTCTAAAAGGATTTAATCGACACAAATAATTAATATGCGGTCGTTAATGATGCCACAATCCCCTCCCCTGCTCCCCCCTCCTCCTCCTCCTGCTGCCGCTGCGCAGCGACATCGGCTCCGTCCGGCATCTTGGATCCCTCTGGTTCCTGGAATTCCGAGGCCTGCCCACCCACACCGAGCCCTTGGGGTTTTACAATTCCAAGTTAACCCCCGCTGTGATCACGACACGCCCCGTATCGCGACACAGCGGAGCCCCAGCGCTGCCGGGGGGGCGCCGTTTTCGCTCTGCGTCATTCCACAGGGAAGGGGGGGGGGACAGGCGGCTCCTGGGGGAGCCCAGCGCCACTTCCAGCCTGATCCTGGATCGGGATCAGGGATTAAATAACGCCGCGCTCCTCCTCCCCGTTCCCAGCTCGGTCCTGGATTTCGGGGGGCTGGCGGGATTTTGCACTGAGGTGGGGACACCCCCTTTTCCCAGTACTTTCCTAGTTTATCCCAGATGGACCTCGCACCCCACATCCCGGGGGCGTCTATGTTTTGGGGTGATATGGATGCTTCGGCATCCCCCAAATTCTGGAAGCAACGCCCAGCGGGGCAGGGGATCCCCCCGTGCGATCCACACAGTTTGGAGGGGCCTTTAATGCACCTCAAAAATGGGGGAATTGGGGGCTCATTTCTGTGCTCCCATTGGAACTGGGGGGTCCCAAAGGAGGAGGAGGGAGTCCCTGATGAGGAACAGTCCCTGGGGCACCCCAACCCCGTGAGATCTCCTTGGGGTGCTCCCCATCTCCTCCTTGCCCTGTCCGTGTTTTGGGGGGATTCGGGTTCTTCTGCGCCCCCAAGTTCTGGAAGCAGCGCCCAGCTGGGGAGGGGAATCCCCCGCTGGATCCACACATTTGGGGGTCCCCACACAGCATGGGGGACTGGGGGCTCATTTCTCTATTCCCCGTTGAACTGGGGAGTCTCAAAGGAGGAGGAGGGATTTCATGGGGCACCCCAACTCCGCGACATCTCCTTGGGGTGTTTCCCAGTTTACTGCATCCCCCATTTCTCAGGGGTGTCCAGCACCCCAAAAAAGACCCGGGAGGGGCTCTCAGTGCCCCCCAACACCCCGAGGGGGCTCGCAGTGCTTTTCCCCTCCGGGTAAAGGGTCCCGAAGCCTCGCAGCCCCTCCAGCA